GATTTAGGTTCGCAATGGAAGGAAAGGAAAAAGTGAAGAAAAAGCGATTTACTACTGTATACGAGTATTACCATCTCCGAATGCTGCATGGTGTGAAACTTTCACCAGATTCATTTTGCCTAACGGTTACGGCTTCGAAGAAGAAGGGTCATCAAATATACATCCCCCTCGAGGTAATTTTGTATTCTGTTTTTATTTTGTAATACTACTTTTTTCATTTGAAAAGCTTATTTTTTGCAATTCTTGTTGGTTTGTTTGCAGTTTTGTGTTGTTGTTTCCCCTGTCCTTACCATCTTGTTTTCGATTCAAAAGAAGGTATTTTATTCTTTTTTGTCTTGTGACTATAGTTCAGAGATCTTGTTTCTAATAGTACTTTTTGTTTATGTTGTTAGTGCAAACTTAGTACACATGGCAAATACGAGATAAAGAAGAGTTTACCTCCACGTCGTGTTATGAATCCCGATCCTAAAAGAACAAGTAAGTGTATTATTTCTTCTTTTGCTTTAAATTTAAATATCTGATTCATTTAATTAATAAAATCGTTTGTTTATGCTTTGTTCCCGAAATATTTTCAGAGATTCCCATTTGTTTATCACCCCTTAGAAACTTTTCAAATATCCATAGAGGGAGACAGCTGAATCCCACTAATCAACAACGCGAATTCGATGTGATAACTGGCTGGGATTTTGAAAACCAAGGGTTTCAAGGTACAAAGCTGGATGCTAAGTCATTTCGTAGGAGAATTGAAACAGGACTAAAAAGCTTAAGAAAGGGATACTTCATCCTAAGATTCTTTGCCTATGGGAATGCCAAAATCTTGAATCGAAACATATTAACCGAGCTAAGGGCATCCGGTATTGAAATCATTGACATTCCTCCAAGAGAAGAGATTGATACTAAGAAGACTAAAGACAAAAGAGAGAAGGTAGACGTGTACCTCCAAAATCAAACGTAATCTTCCATAACAAGGTATGAGTCATATTTAAATATCATATATTTAACCAAGGTTTAGAAATTTTAAATTGTTTGAAATATTTTGCCGTGTAGGTTTACATCACATGTAAAGTTGAAGGTTGTCCTATAAGAATAACATTGCAGCGTACTAAGTTGATAGGAATAAGACTTTACGATGGAAGCAATCTTTATACTACTAGTCCTCTGCCAAAGAAGAGAACTCAATTCTCCTTTTTCTTTGAAAACAGGTGCAAAAGTCAAATTTTTGAGTTTTTTTTTTATTTCAATTCCTTTTGTATGAATTGATATTCTTTTTGTTTTGCAGTAAAATGCATTGGTGTGTGAAGATAATATTTAATCGTGTGCTCCCTGCTTATCCGTTTTGTGCAATTACTCCTCATCGGTTTAAGAGTATGTAGCTGAGAATTCTATTCTTTATAATACTAACCATATTCTTTATATCCTATAATACTAACCATTTAATTCTTGTGTTCAGGAAAACCAGACCTGGCTGATATGCGGATTATACTTGAAGTCTTGTTGCACGCCGTTGACTTCCAACCTCCGGGTAATATACTTTTTATCACGGGTGATCAAGACTTTTCAACTCCCATCAACGAACTCCAGCGTAGAGGGTTTGTTGTACTGGTAGCCAATGACAACCGACAAGTGGATCTGGATTTTGGAGCAACAGCTTCCTGGAATTTTTATAGCTTATGCCAAGGTGGATCATACCGGTTCATAAATGCAGGTGTGAATGAAGAAGATGATTTTGAAGATTTAGACCAGTAAGTGAGATTAACATTGCAAACAATTTTTACACTTTTGAATGATACATGGCATTAATGGTGGCGCAATTTTCAGTGAAACTTTAGGGCTGAGAGGCTTGGAGAATCTAGGAAATACCTGTTTCTTGAACAGTGCCCTTCAGTGCTTAGCTCACACACCAAAGCTTGTTGACTTCTTTCTTGGAGAATACAGGAAAGAAATAAATCATGGCAACCCATTGGGAACAAAAGTATGTCGCTCTATTGCTTGTTCTATAGATACATTTTGGGATTCTCTTTCTTCTTGATCAGTCTCACAATCAAATTTTGTTCTGGTAGGGTGAGATAGCCTCAGCTTTCGGTGACTTGTTAAGGAGTTTGTGGGCTCCAGGTGCATCACCAGTGCCTCCAACTACACTTAAAGCAAAACTTGATGAATATACTACTCAATTTCGTGTCTTTGATCAGCATGATTCGCAGGTCAGGGAAAACACTTCAATTCCCTTCCTGATGTTTCTTCTTGTCACTAAGCATAACCGGTCACTCAGGCTAAAAAGACCACATATATTGGAATATTGTATTCATGTGTTTCAGATATGGTTGCAGGAACTTCTAGCTTTCTTGCTGAATGGACTCCACGACGACGTAAACCGTATAAAGACCAAGCCTTATGTGGAAGCAAAAGATGGACATGGCTGTCCAGAGGAAGAAGCGGCTGATGAATATTGGCGAAATCATGTGGCTTGCAATGATTCAATAATTGTTGATTTATGCCAAGTAAGTATCTTTAGGTTCCTAAGTTGTTTATATACATACATCTGTTGACAATCAGTTTGGCTTGCACATTAGGAAAATTTAGTTTGAACTCTGCTTAAAAAATAATGGCTCAAGCTGTGCAATGTTCTGGTATTAGAGCATGTTTGAAATTTCTTTTATTAGATTGGTCAGGGCGACTTTATTATCTTGATTTGAGATTGTGTATACATGATATTTCTTTCTTCTTAAGGAAGATATTTCCCTGTTGATAGCTATGTCAAGTTATTAGATTCTTCTCTATACACAACTTTTCTTAAGAATTGCTTTTGCTTTGCGTTTGATACGATGCTCTTTGCATTTTAACCATTTGACTATCTTGAAATTTGGCATCCTGGATATCCTCATCTTCTTTGGTGCAGTGCATTTCCTAAGAAAAGATCCCGACCATGTCGACCACTAAGACATTTATGTGCATTTTTGGTTACAGGGCCAATTAAAGTCAACAGTAGTTTGTCCTATTTGCAAAAAGGTTTCTGTTACTTTTGATACGTTCATGTACCTCTCACTAGCTTTGCCATGCACTTCAATGCAAACAGTGAACGCTTATGATACTTGTCTTCTGAGCTCCTTCCCTGAGGTTTCCAAATTTGGCACTAAGAGACCCCGGGAAGAATCTGTTTCGCTTGACAAGTGCCTTGAAGCATACTTGGTGGAGGAGCCTCTTGGTCGTGATAACATGTGGTGAGCTATCGATCAAAACCATTTTTTGTCGCTTGATTTTCGTAAACCTTTTTGTGCTCTTTCCTAGTTTCTCTGTGATCTTTGGTACCTGACATGATTCCGAATCGTTTCTTTAGGTATTGTCCTGGGTGCAAAGAGAAGAGGCAAGCCATGAGAAAGTTAGATCTGTTGAGCTTGCCAGAGATCCTCGTAATTCATCTGAAGAGGTTTTCATATAGCCGCCACTCTATGGGGAAGAAGCTGGAGGCCGATGTGGACTTCCCGCTAGATGATCTTGATCTATCAAGCTACATCTCCTACAAGGATGGTCAGACAAATTATCGCTACATGCTCTATGCAATTAGCAATCACTATGGAAGCATTGGAGGTGGTCATTACACTGCATATGTCCGTGTGAGTGATAAGACATTGTTTTATTATCCAATCCTATGTCTCATCATTGTGTTAAATGGTTCATAATATCTTGGGTTGAATCGGTGCATACTTGGGATTCTCTTACTCATTTTCTTATTTTGCAGCTTGGAGATGATCGATGGTATGACTTTGATGATAGCAAAGTCCACCAAATCAGCCAAGAAAATATCAAGACCCCCGCTGCTTACGTTCTCTTCTATAAACGTATAGTAGAAGACAAATGAAACACACAAGAAAGATGTTTGTTCAATTTTGCCTAGGGAGGCAGAGCTGGGCATACTTATATTACATTTGTGATAATTTTCATTTACTAAGGATTCGCCCTCAGTTTACAATGTTACAATTTCTTTTGGTATTAGCCATCTATTGTTACAATGTGTATGAATGGATACCCCGGCTGCTTACGGTCGTACTCTTCTGGTCATGATGAGTAGAGAGAGTTTGGGAAATGAGGGATTTTAATTGCTATCTTTATGTTATGGGTTTGATGATCTGACAAAATATCCAAAAATAGGCAATACTTGCATTGATCTTATTGCCACTAGCTTCTTGATTGAGATATGTATATGATAACTGTTTTTTTCCATTGTGTATTTGGATCTTGATTGAAGGCGTGATTGATAAGGGTTGGGCATTGGATCCATACTACATAGGTTATGAGTTCACAAAACAGGTCATACTTGTTAACAAATTGGACGTAAATTAGTGTTAGATATTGATCTTGGAGCAGAACTTGAATATAGGAGGAATTGTCTTCCCAATCCAACTCCAACGTAAAAGATTCGTTTTTACCTTAACGCCAATAGCCTTGAGGAATTCTCGCAACCCTAAACCTAAATGCATCTGCCCATTTGCCTTTAACATCACTAGCTTCACTGCCCACTTTACTCCATGCTTATCCAACAGATTTATCTCCTTCCCTCCTGCAGTTTCCATCTTGTTATCGATAATGAAGCTCTGCGGAAGATACTGCACACAAAATAGAGACAATCAGCTTATACTATGCGTACTTCACAAAGCATCGATACCAAAAATACGCGAAAAACTCATCCAAAAAAACTCATTTTGTATCTTAAATTTTATATATGAGATAAATAACATGAGAATAGACATAACACAACGTTGTTAAAAATATATATATATAAAAAAAAAGACATAACAATCAACATCCACTTGCCTCATATGTTGTTCCACTTTACCTTTTCTCAAGTCAGAGTCAAACCCGTTTTAGGTGTTCTGTCCACAAGGTACACACACAAAATAAAGAGTAATTACATTTAAAATTTCATAAAGAAATAAACAATTTGTTGTTATGTAATTATTCAAAATAGTGATAGTAAAAGGTGAATTTTTTGGGTGTTCTAAAACAATGATATGTATATCTTCTATAGACCAATGGTTCCAGATTTCCTGGTAAATCTGAAAAACCTTGCTAAAAAGTGTATTTGCAATCTAATAATTTTATATTTAGTTTAGTCAATTTACATTCAACTTAATAAATTGAATGTAGTTCCCTAAAACACGGACTGAAACTCTAAATTGTATCTCACTAAACTTTAGTACTTTGCGAAATTCTTAAAGGGTTATAAAGAGAATCGTCTTGTATATATGGAAATCTAAGACAATTTTCTAACTATTTTCCTTCTCTATCATCTTCGTGTATCCGTCTTGCTCAATAGTTCTACAAAATAACTTTTCATATTACCGAATAATTAAAATTACTAAATTAGTAATATTCACATTTTTAATGATTTTATAAGTAGAGAAATGCTGTGTATTGAATTAAATATTAGGCTACTCCGGATTTATGACATTAAATGTAGAAATATAATATTTGTGGGAATCTCTCCTTTCGACCAAAAAAAAAAAGGGTATCTCTCCAAATAAACAATGATATAAATAACTTTAACATATCTAAAGTGAACGAACGGAGTAGAAAGGCTCGAAAAGAAAGAACGGCGCCGTTAACGGACTAACGGAGAGAGAGGGGAAGGTGGCTCCCACATTGGGTCTCTACTCAAAATGGTCCCGCGATGAGATCGTACGGTCTCGGGATTATATACAAGTCTCTATAACTATGTACGTATTACACATTTTATAGCACAGTAACAAATTTATCAAAACACCTTTTCTTGATTTTTGTAACAGAATATATTAATCAGTATGGTTGTTAAAACATATAGAACTGGATAGATTATTTCCTATTGGTTCAGTCTAGTTCAACTGTTTTAACTGCATTCAATCGTAATTTTTTGTTCAAATATATGAAAATGTAATGTTACTAAGGGGTGTAAATGGTAACAGAGTAATCTAGCGGAATTGCAGAATCTGGCAGAATTTTTAGTGATTTTTTGCGGAATCTGGCGGAATATTTTTGAATTCAAATGGTAACAGCTGAATCTTGCGGATTGTAGCGGAATTTTTAAAAATAAATTTATTAAAAACCTATTTATTAAAATTTTGTTTGTTGATATTAAATATTTATGTTTACAAATTTTTTAAATATTAAAAAGTATTAATTTTTGTATTGATTTATCTCATATACAACATATTTTATTAAAATTTTCGTTTTTATATTTTGTTTAGCAAAATTTATAAGTATGTTTTAGTATTTTTTACCAAAATTAGTAAAAACTATAAAATTTATTCATTTATGATATTAGTAATTTGTTAGAAAATAAAAACGAGCAAAATTATTTATTTAAAAAAAAAAAAATTAAACTTGCAAACCTTAAAACATTACAAAATTAGAATACATTATTTCTAAATATTAGTGATTCACTAATAATACTCATCCATGTTGTTTTCAGTTTAATGTAATTTTTAACTTTTAACTTCACCATATTAACTAAAAGAATGGTTGAATATGCATAATAAATAAACAAACATTATAAAATAACTTTGATATGCATATTCCACATGTTTTGTCTTTTTAGTGGATTTCATGAATTCATCAAACTTCCAACTGGTAACAATTCCACTAAATTCCACCCAATTCCACCAATCTTCAGTCACCATTTAGGGCCAATATCCATATTGAAAAATTTATTGGTCAAATCTATAGGGCGGTTCAAAAATATTAATTAGTTTAAGCTGGAGTCAATAAACTGCATCTAGTTTGAAAGATCCATTAATCGTTATCAATATAGTTTTTTTTGTCAACAAACTTCATTCATTTCAACCGATCAAAATACAAAAAAAAAATTAAGCATCTTCCAAAGGTATTACAACATAATTGAAACACAATAAAATAAAGACCAGATAAATTATTACATAATTGAAATAAATATCATCTTTTTTTTGTCCACCGTTGTTTCTATCTCCGTCTGTGTTTTGGTGCACAACCACTGACACTGTTTTGGTCCACAACCGTCGACACTGTTTTGGTCCACAACCACCGTCGTCGCCTTCGACGACTACCACCGTCTCTATTTTTCTCCACCACATTCTTCTTCATCAATAGAGAGAGACTCGAAGAGAGAGAGTTCCGGAGAGAAAGAAATCTGGTGAGAGAGAGTGATCCGGCGGGAAAGAGAGATCCGCCGAGAAATCCAGCGATTTTTTCTTCTTCTTCTTTGAAAGAAAGATAAAAAGAGGACAAAAATGTATTTTCATCTCTTGTGAATAGTAATTTATGATATTTTTTTAGGGTTTTTGAACTTATGGCATTTTTTAAAACTTTTTGTGATAAATGGCATTTTTGAAAATTTCCTTAGTCTTATTAGGAACAAATTTATTTTCATACGATTCTTCAATTTTAAAAAATTAAAGTGATAAATTCCAAAACATAACTTTTGATATCACGTAAAAATTGTGCACATTGTACATTGTGAGATCGGATTTGTATGAACTTATATCGTTGTCTGGAGAACTTATGATTGTGTAATGATTATTATTTCGTGGACCAAAACATTTTTATTAGAAAAATTAGCATATATATTAGTCTTTCTATCTATAATCCATAATATAACATCATGTAAAACATAATGTACTAACTAGCATTTAGATTAGATTAAATCTCAATTTGATCCTTATGTAATTAATACAGATTTTTACAATTTAAAAAATAAAAATAAAAACTTTCCATGGTGACATACAATTTATTACATGCAATTAATGGAAAGTTTTCATTTTTATGTCAATATGAAAAGTTTTATTTTTATTTTTTATGTCATTTGCC